ATCAATGATTCTCTCTCATCATTGATGTTTCTATCTCTTTCTCCCTCTCCCTTCCTCTCTGAAATCAATACAAATATATATTTTTTAAAAAGTTTCTCCAGGACACCTCTTCATGCTCCTGTCCCCCAGGAGTCACCCAAGTGTGATTGCCACATCTTTCCCTCCTCCTCCTGCCTCCCAAAGGCTGGCTGACTGGCTGTAGTCACCTTTCAACACCAGCACCATGTTGCCTCAATAAATGACAACCCAGCCTCTACCAGCCAGGAAAACTGAGGCCTGTCCACCACCAGGCCTGGGAAGGTTGGACAGACAGCCCTGGTCTGCCCAACTTACTGGACAGCCTTGGTGGAGTGTGAGCGGCTGACCAGGAATAAAAACCAGTGGTGAGCTCAATAATGCAGCCCTCGTCCCCCCAACACTTAAGGACGGAGTTGACTGTCCAGCTCTGTCCCAGTTCCCAGGGGGCCCCCAGTGACTGTTTAGGGCCACGTGTATAGTAGTTGCTCAAGAGATGGTGAATAAATGAACCGAATAATATCCTGCCATTTGGGGGCCTGGTGACCTTCATCAGTGATTTTTAAGTTCCCTGGGCCTCAGTTTCCCCATTCATAAATAAGGGCTCAGGACTCAGTCAGTCCCCACTCTACAGAGCTGTGTATGGTAAGGAGGAAGTGACAACAAACAGTAAGAGCTGCCTAATTGTGCATCAGAAAATTCACCGGGAGCCTTAGCCGGTTTGGCTCAGTGGATAGAGTGTGGGCCTGCAGACGGCAGGGTCCCTGGTTCCATTCCCCGTCAAGGGCACGTACCTGGGTTGCAGGCTCCTCCCCGGCCTGGGCCTCGGTCAGGATCGTGCAAGAGGCAACAATCGATGTGTTTCTCTCACATCGAGGTTTCCCTCTGTCTTTCCCTCGCTCTTCCACTTTCTCTAAAAATCATTGGGTGAGGATTAAAATAAATATTCAATGAAAACATATTAAAAATTCACCGTGAGCCCTAACAGGTTTGGCTCAGTGGATAGAGCGCCGGCCTGCGGACTCAAGGGTCCCAGGTTCGATTCTGGTCAAAGGCATGTACCTTGGTTGCAGGCTCGATCCCCAGTGTGAGGTGTGCAGGAGGCAGCTGATCGATGTTTCTTTCTCGTTGATGTTTCTAACACTCTATCCCTCTCTCCCTTCCTCTCTGTAAAAAATCTATAAAATATATTTTTTAAAAAATAAAAATTCGCCGAAACCGGTTTGGCTCAGTGGATAGAGCATCCGCCTGCGGACTGAAAGGTCCCAGGTTCGATTCCGGTCAAGGGCA